GTTTAGCTCACATGAGCACTTACATCCCTTTTTGCTTTTAGAGCGAACTATTTCAAGACGATCTTTTTCCGCCAACACGCGTCACATGGAAGCCCACACTGTCTGCGGATGAATGGTTTGCATGTAACGATAGGAAAGCGACTAAGTTGAGTCTGCAGCCTGAGGGCATGGAAGCCTGTAAGTGTTCTTCGAAATCGTTAATATTCACTTCTTTTTAAAAGTATTAATCCTCACACAATTTATTGATTTTTTCTTTTAAAGTATCATCCATTCAGCAAGTCGCCCCCGCTAAGAAGATAGAGCATGCGGGCAATGGCAGTAGTGGCGGCGCAATGACTCGAGCGGAATTCGAGAAGAATAAACAACAAGAGGTGAGTAAATGGCATAGAAGTCTTGTTCATTATACTCTGAAGATAAGTTTGCCACGGGGTTTGTAACACCCAGAAAGAAAAATCGGAGACGCAATCAATATGCGTGATTAGCATGACGCGCTGAGACGAAGTTGTTCGAAACTGTCGATATCGAACCACTCTAGTACATTCACAAACTGGATGAAAGAGTACATACTTGACCGTAATATTGTAGTCGATGGCTTTAAGATTCCGACTGTCAATAACCTTAAGATTTTAGGTGTGACTTTCGTCAGCCTGTACTTCTTCACTCCTCGCACGACCACGATTGTCGTCAAAGAACAGAGCTGCAACAAAATCCTCAATTCCCTAGCCGACAGCACATGGAGAAAAAACAAAGAAACGTTGTTGGCAAAATATAAGGCAATCAGCCAGCCGGTCCTTAACTACTGGTCGCCTGGATGCAGTGAAACGTATACGAAGAAGCTGCAAACATGTCAGAACACTGCACCCCTGACTGTAGCTGGGTGTCTCTTGATGTCTCCCATTTAACACCTGCATTGTGAACTGTTTATGCTGGTCTGCTTTCGCAAAAATCATCTCTGCAATTACCTGCTTGCAGCGGTACCGCCTCCTAGAAGCATCAAGATCTTTAACTACGTCGATGACATAAAACAATACACCGAGTATACTTCGGACCCAACTAACTTCAGACATACAGTACCTCAAATAATATTCTATTCTATTCCATTCTATTCTATTCTACAGTGACCTTTATTCACAGTTGAGCCATTAACACCTCCACTGACTCCCTCTAAGTGAATGGCGCACTTGGAGTCAAACCACCCCCTATTGCAAACGAAGAGTTCGACTTGCCGCGAGAAGAGTTACCCTTGCGCAACTTCGTTCTGGATATTGTAGCCCGTTAAACTCCTACTTATGCAGAATAGACCCTGACATATCACATATACTGTCTCTTATACACATCTAGATGTGTATAAGAGACAGCCACTGACTCCCTCTAAGTGAATGGCGCACTTGGAGTCAAACCACCCCCTATTGCAAACGAAGAGTTCGACTTGCCGCGAGAAGAGTTACCCTTGCGCAACTTCGTTCTGGATATTGTAGCCCGTTAAACTCCTACTTATGCAGAATAGACCCTGACATATCACATATATGTCCAACGTGCAATGAGTCCCCGCCTGACACTAGCCACCTCTTTGCGTGTGCTAATGCTACACAACTGACACCCTTCTCCTTTTGGTTCGATCCCATCGAAAGAGCTCTAGCATAAACATATGTCATAAACTGATCGATCAAAATCTAGTTTTTTAACTGCTAACTTAAATATTAATGTATAGAGTGGCCACTTTTTTCTTATATGGTCTGCGATAGCAACTATTTTAATAACAAATAATTTAAATTTCGCTCTTTTCCAGATTCAAAAGTCAGTCAGTGCCCGCTTGGAGTACAATACCAAACTGGAGCAGGACGACATGGAAGGTGTGGATGAAAATGAGTGGCAAGAGGATTAAACATTTTGTCACAAGCAAAATAAGTAAAAAAAGTCAGTGTGCAACTAAGCACTGGCATTTAGCAGTATATTACATTAAGTTAATGTTTATGAGCGTAAATGTGTATGAAGCGTGCATACCATTAGATAACTTTTATATGTATGCAAAGACATACAGACAAATATATATATTTTTTAAACATATTTAGAAGTTATATTCGTTTTCACAGTACATTCTCAGTCAGAACATTCAAAGCATATATAATTACATGCAACAGTATAACGTAAAATAATTACGCTGACAAAAAAAATTTCATAACACTTCCAATAGGAATTGCGACGATATTCGAAAAAAAATCAATCAGTTATATTAGAAAAAATAAACACTTCCAGGGACCAAATTTACATTACAATACAAAAAGAACAAAGGTATATAACGCAAAAGACTGCATATAATTGTATTCTAGTTAGTTGGAAAATATTTATGTGAACCGTGAACTTCCTTTTTTATTATAAACTAAATTTATAATTAATGAAACTTAAGCATATTTTTTATTAATACTCAATATTTGCCAAAAAGAAATTCGAACACCAACTCGATGCTAACATTCCACAAGAAAAATTAACTTTAAATATGTTTTTTAATAATTTATAAACGCGTTGTTTACTAAAAAGAAGCGAAATATGTTAAACCGAAATTTGAGATTATAAGTGAGAATTTTTTGTATTTGCGACTTAACGCAAAATTGAAGAAGGCATTCGACTATCGTATTTAGTTTTACTTGAAGGAAAGTGTCTAATTAAAACTGTTGCCATAAGACATGCAAATTCCTCTTGATGATTTACAAATATTTAACGACTTTATAATTAAACATGTATGTGTAGTGGATATACTGTGAAATATGCATCCATACATACCGTAATTAAGGCATACAAATTTATGTAATCTATTTTATAACTGATAACTAATGGATAAACTAATGAAATGATTATGATGATTATTATTATAATGACAAAGCTGATGTGACAACGTTTTTCTCTTTAACATACACACATATGTATTTATGTTTTATTATCTTATATAATTAACTGTAAATTAATAATTTATAATAACATATACTACAAAAACATGACCAATTATGTTACAAAGAAAACTTTTGCTCTCTAGTCTTCGGTTAAAGAATATATATGTACATACATACATATATATATTTTGGAAATTTAAAAACTTTCTGCTGCACTACTCGTAAATACTACCTTCAAACAATCAAGCGATAAATGAACCGTTCAACATGCAACTTACAGCTGCAACATTACTTGTTTGTAATATTTTATGGGTATTGTGCTTCAGAAATGGAAGGGAGAAGAGAGAATAGACTTAGTTGAATTAAAAAGTGCACAAAAGCCGCTTGAAATTTAAATGATTTGAGATTTTTTATTTTTGCACTTTTAAGTTTTAATGTTTCATTTTATTTTTATAAATTTTTTTTTAACTTCTAAAACTTTTAATTTCTAAAACTTTATTTCGATTTTGTTAATTTTTTTACATTTTTTTTATTTTAGTACAAATAATTTATTTTTAATACATTTCTTTTATTTGGTTTTTATTTTATTACTGTTAAATTTTTTTTTTATTTTTTATTTATATATTTTTTAAAATTTTTTTTATTTATTATTATTTTTTTATTTTATTTAATTTTTTTCATATTTTTTTTACAGTTTGTATATATATTTTTTTCTACTTTACCCCATCAACGGTAATCTCTCTCAGGCGGCAGAGCCAATCCTCAAAAGCCTGCAATTTTTTCATGCAAAATCAAAAAAAAAAAAACCTCCAGCTGCTTAGAGGTTATGTTCACCTTGTAAGCAACTCCATCTGTCGGTAATGAAAGTGTCGTTAGGTTCTTATTATTGCTTTTAAAAGTTTGTGATAGTAAATAATATATTACACACATTTTGTGTCGAATGAACACAGCATATTAAAAATAAATAATTAATTTCTTTCCAAACATAACCTCTAAATGTACACCACAATGCCCTATAGAATATTACTCACCATTACGAGTTAATATTGTCGCTGTGAAAGCAATACTAAAATATATACATACTTAAAACAAAAAAACAAAAACAAATCGCTGCAAACGAAAAGACTTCAATAAAATATTGCCATAATGTTTACATCAATTTTTATACCAGAAAAAAAATTAAAAAGTATTTTGAAAATCTAACAAGTATTTACACTTATTGAGAATTCAGAAAATAAAGTACGTTTATCATAATGTATAATATGATCACAATAACAATGTCACACTTAGAGATACATATTAAAGCAACCACTCAGGCCCACTATATTGGTGCTGGTCGTCGTTCTTACGCAACTTATCGAATTAATAAGTAAAATAAATACATTTACTAAACTTTTAACAACAACCGCATACATACACACTAATAAACAAGCAATGATGGATGTCAGCAACAATTTAAGACATACACCAGTAATGACATTGATCGCGCATAAGCTGATGACAATTGCAAAAAAACACCAGTAGTTTTAGTATAACAACAATAAATACGCAACATTTACAACCGCGCCCCTCCGCCCCAATCGACTCAATAACACGGAAACTAATGAATAATAATCGTAAAATTAAGTAAGCAAAACTTTAATTAAAATTTGCGGCCATTGCAGATAATTAATTTTGCTCACAAAATGTTTTGCAACTATTTTTGATATTATGGCAAAATTTGTAGCATAATAATTTTAACATTCATATTCTAATACAACGGGTATTTGAATATTTTTTTTATTCTTTAAACATAGATCTTTTTAGTATTCGTTTTTTTGTAACAACTATATATTACATACACAATTATTGCTTTAATATTTGCCATGATTCCAAAAAAATTTCAATAAAGTCATTTCCAAAAGTTAGTTTTGAAACAAAAGAGCAGATTCATCACATAAAAAATAATAAAAGTAAACACAATATTTATTAAGCATATTAATAATAACAATATTTTATAATATCAATATTAATTTTTGAGTATTAAGTAATAATAAAATAAATATATTTATATATCCTAAAACAAACATCTTTAATTGAGAAAAAAATTAAAAATGCCGATAATTAATTAATATTAAATATTTTGGTTCAGAAAAAAATTATAAATAAAACAAAAAATAGAATTTGAGTCGACTAATTTGCGGCTGAATGCGCCGAATCCTTCGTGCAATGTCTACAGGCTATTGTGGATACATAGCTGATTATGGAAAAGCTGGCATGCTGGTCACCCTGTATATTCTTGTGTTCGCCAAGTAACGGTTGGCGCATAAATTATTGTTTTTTTTTTTTATTAAAAAGTGTTATGGGAAATGTTTTATATTAACTGTTCGTGTCATGTGTTTTTATGTGTCATAGGAAACGTTAAATTTCGAATAATTATTTCACCTTGTCGAAGCCAGTTTGATAGAAATATTTTACATACATATATTATTAGTTTGACATTGTGATACATGCGAAATATACCGCGAGTGTGCTGATAAACAGACAACCTGCTACAGACTAAAAAATCGGCCTGACCTGCTGTGGGGATTCCCGGATACACAAGTAAACTACATATTTAAAATTACTACATTATATATATTTGTATTAAACTTTTGCACATTTACATACATCATTAACATCTAAATGATTTATTTTTTGTGTTCGTTCATTTCAAACACATTTCCAATAATACGTATTCTAAAAAAGATTCATTTTATATAATTTTGTAACTCTGGCTTAAATGCTAAAATAGATTTCGTTTGCACAAATATGCGGCGTAATAAGTTTCAAACATAAACTGCGGTTATTAATCACAGAATCGAATTAATTTCATTTAAACCTTTATTACTGCCGGTCATATGTATTCCCTTTGTTGACTTTATAAACTTAGTACTAAAATCTATTTGGCCTTTTTTTATATTCACTATTTACACTTGCATAATCTAAATTAATATATAATATATGCATAACTATAATTTATGACGAATTTTATACATTATGAATGTATAATTACTAAAATTATTAAAGATTAACGTAAATTAAAAGACTGATGTGCAAGTCTCAAATGTGATCTCTACCATTGTATTGTGCCGCTATATGTCCTTTCGTGGCGAAAGAAATGTTAAAAGTGGGTGCAGCTTGTGGATGGTAGATTAGCTCCGGTGGCTAGCAATTTGGACGATAGTTGCCGCCTAAAGTACGATCTGTTGCCACAATTGTGGCGCCGGCAACATTAACTTGCTGTTGTTGCTGCTGCTGCTGTTGTTGTGCCGCAGTAATGTGTGGTGTGGCGTTTATAAATATGTTTGCAGCACCAGCATTTGCATTATGAAGTTGCTGCTGCTGCGGCTGTTGTTGAACGTGGTGCTGTTGAGCTTGCACTTGGGCAGCGGTTACATTGTGCGAGGTAGTGACTGGGGCATTGGCGGTATTTAGCTGCAGGAGCTGCTGTGTGGCTTGCGGTTGCATTTGTAGACGCAATAAATTCAATTGATTTGCGTTGATAGCGATCTAAGAACAAACAGAGAGAGTAGAAAGAGTTAAGATGCAGCCATTCTGTGTGCGATATTCATTTAACTTACGGGCACATTGGTCAATTCCCCTGTTGGTGTTACCACCTGCTGCAGCAATTGTATTTGTGGTTGTTGTTGGTGCTGTTGATGTTGCGCCAAATTCTGTAAAATTGTCGCTTGCTGGTGCTGCGCAGGATTGGCAGGTGCAGGTGTGGCAGTGAATTGTCCATTTGGACCTGCTGTCAATATAAGCTGTTGTGGTTGCTAATGATCAAAAATAATAATGTTATTAAAAGTTTTTCAATGTTGTTCACCTTATTTAAAACTAAATGTTTTCACTTACATGAGTTGTTATAAAATACTGCGGTTGCGACGGCTGCTGTATGATCTGCAGTTGTGGCTGTGGCGCCGCATTTTGTCCATGTGCTGCATTTAGAGCCTCCGGTGTGGCAATAAAGTATTGCATCTGTTGTGGTTGTGTCGCGGATGGTTGCTGTATTATTTGTAATTGTTGGGGCGCATGCATAGTGGTATGCGCTTGCTGTGTCTGTTGTGGTTGAGCAGTCGCTGCGGCTAAGGTATCGGTATTGAGCGCGCCAAAAGTCAACACTTCACCTTCAGCTGTTTCCATCTTAACGGGTAAAGTCACGGTGCCTGCAGTCATGACAGCATTTGCTCCAGCTGTAGTTGTTGTATTACTTACAGTATTCACGTTAGTACTCTGTTGCTGCGTGTCCTTTTTCTGGCCGCTACTCGTACTGGGTTTTATGTCTTCACGTGGCACAATATCAATCAGAAAATCAAATTGATCGTAATTAGCTATAGCCTGTGCAATATCTGATCGTTGAAGTGTGCGTCGTTTGCTTTCTTCAGTGTGTATCCAGGCACGCATTGTCAGCTCTTGTATGAAGTACTCACATGCTTTGGCAAAAAGGAGTGGCGCTTCGGCAGCTATCATCCTTGCATTTTCATCTAATTTCATAATTTTTTTAATTCGTGCCAATGGCAATGCTTGATGTTTGGCATCTACTTGATGTATCGCTCGCACATCTGCCATAATATTCTGCCAGAAGTTGTCAATGGTGGGTGGGGGTTTGCGTACAACAGCCGTGCGCTGTGTCTTCGTTGTTTGCTTTTCTTTGGGATTGTTGGGGGCACTACTGCTGGTTACTACTACATCACCCGATATGCTATATGTTGCAGATGATATGATATGGGTGGTATTTATTTGATTGTTGCTACTACCATGCCGACCACCACTGGTAGTGGCAGGTACTGATACAGAGCCGCCACTACTACTCGGCGTGTTTGAGTAGGAGTGCGACATTATTTCAACTGATATTTAAACACTGCACAGTGCACTTTAACGAATTGGAATTATATTTTACACGTTATTAATGGCAAAAGCTCAAAAAATGTGAATAAAATAAGTTTTGGCGTCAAACTAGTCACTGTTGTGTTCCACTTTTTTATTGGTTTCACTACTTTGCTTCCTCTTCCTAATTTAGTAAATCACATCTAAATGTTCATCGAGACCCACGCAATCGATAAACAGAAATCGATAAACATAATTATTAAAATCTAAGAAACAAAGAGATTAGTTTGTAGAAATATTATAAAGAAATATTTTTTGCAAAAATAATGGAGTCTTTATTTTAAATCAACAATAAAGTACAATGTACTGTAATAATTCAGGGTATTATATTTTACATGACATTTACATATATGTGTTTAATTTGCTTCATTGTGAATGCGTTATACCTGTTATCAATGGAAATGACAATTCCACATCAGCCGGCTTTGTTTCTTTTAATTAGTTGGCAAAGTAGAAACAACCCAAATTTTTTCTAATCAGCGGTTCCAATAATGGAGTGCCACTTCTGGAAGATTTTCGCCCTATCTAGCGCAGTTAAAATATTGCTAATTCCTTCGCCGTAAGTCAAAGTCAAAACGCAATCAATATAAAATGTAATATAACAACGGTATCTTAGTCACTCTACAGATTTTGAAGTACACAGGAATTGGTTGGCTGTAACGCATTCATTACCCATAGGTAAATGGTATTATGAAAACACTAGCAATTGGACGCTTGACTATCCACCTTTCTTTGCCTATTTTGAATGGCTGCTATCTTATGCCGCATCCTTCGTAGATCCGCAAATGGTAGTAGTAACAAACCTCAACTATGCTTCTACGGCTACAATTTATTTCCAACGTTGCTCAGTGATAATTGTGGATCTAGTGTTTGCTGTTGGTGTACGACAATCTCTACGGGCATTGAAAATAACGCAATCATCGCCGCAATCATTTGCTGCTGCAATGTTACTTTTGTTTAACGTAGGATTGTTATTTGTGGATCATATGCATTTCCAATATAATGGTTTCTTATTTGGTATACTATTGCTGAGTATAAGTTTTCTGTTGGAGGAACGTTATCTGCTCTCGGCATTCACATTTGCTGCTTTACTCATGTTTAAGCATATTTTTCTCTATATGGCACCAGCTTTTGCAGTTTATCTGCTTAAGTTTTATTGCCTGGATTCGAAGTGCGTTAGGAATGCAATAATTTGTATAACAAAATTGGCAGTTGTCGGTTTAATCCCTATTGTAGCTGCTTTCGGACCATTCTACAATCAGATGGATCAGGTGCGAATTTATATTTATCAAGAAGTAAAACAAAATTATAGCATAGAACTTTTCAGGTTTTTAGTCGCCTATTTCCTTTCAAACGCGGCTTAACACACGCTTATTGGGCACCAAATTTCTGGGCCATATATAATACTGTCGACAAAATTGCAGCCAAATTGTTACGCATTCCAAGTTCTAAAGGTCCCTCAACCACTTCTGGGCTTGTGCAAGAGTTTGAACCACAGTTTTTGCCTAACATAACGCCGCGCACCACATTTCTGCTGACGTTGCTTTTTATGTTACCAATATTGGTAAAACTCTTTGCCTATACGTCAAAAAGGTAGTATATAATTTGCTTTCTCAATTCCCATTGCGAAATGCCGCTTCAACAAAATCCACTTCTTTTAACAGCGAATCAAAAGCTACATTTCTGCGTGCCGTTGTTATCTGCTCTTGCTCTTCGTTCATGTTTGGCTGGCACGTACATGAGAAGGCAATATTAATGTGCCTTTTACCACTGTGGTAAGCAACGTTTTGCATTTACACTTTCATTTCTACAATTTTTCACCTTTACAGCTTGCTGTCTGTACTCCAACCAATGGATGCCACACACGCATACTGGTTAAGCATTTTTGGTTACTTCTCACTATTTCCATTACTTCACCAATCGTGCGTGTTGCTGCTGCGTTACGCGCTCTATTTAGCCTATGTGGCATTCATGTACGGACAATTGGCCAAACTGTATCCCAACGAGCGCCAAACGAAACTGTATGCGTTAGAAAAATTTTACACAGTTGGTTGTGTATTGATTCCCATATACGAACACTTCATAAGTCCATTTTTGCATTTAGACAAAACATTGCCATTTTTACCGCTACTACTGACATCACTTTACTGTGGTCTAGCTGTTACATACTTTTTCATTCGTTATTATTTACATGCACTCGCTATAAGTCCCAGTGCATCATTTACAATTAAAACTAATTTTAAGCCCAATACAACAACTACAAAAACAGTTAAAGCTAAGGATAAGTCAAAATCAAAGTTGTTCAAGTCAAAGCTGAAGGCGCAATAAACGTAACTGTCGTATTGTAATTGCGTAGTGGCTTCCTTGTTGTTGTAACACAATGCAACCAAGCGTTTGAAGCGCGTCTGGGATAACCACGCATCGGTCTAATGTTGGCATTGTCGTAAAGCCAATAAAGATTATTTTTGAAGAAATAAGTTTTGCCATTGTTTAACGTTGCTGCTGCATCAATATGTTCTGGGATGCCGGGCCAACGGCGCATAGGCTTTGGATAGCCTACATCCAGCGTTTGCAGACGATCGTTGTAACGCCAAAATTTTTCGCCGGCAAATATATACGTTAGATTATTTTTTGCTGCAGAAAATATAAAAAAAAATAAATTTTTACACTGTTGCTGTACCGTCACATATTCGCAAAAACTTACGCCACAACATAACGGCATCGATATGTGTCGCATAACCTATTAAATTTTCGATTGGAAGCGGGCTATTTTCGATGAGTATGGGACGCTTGCCGTGTGCATAGCTGAATACCCAATATTTGTCGCCTAAAAGAGAGAAGTGATAGAGAAAAGGTAAGCAGCATTTTCATTTCGCGGTAAATAATAATAAACTACAGTTATAAATAAATACGTTAGAAATACCTGTAAAAAATACGCCGGCGCAATCGTAGCGCTCATAAGCGGCGTCAATACGCTTGACATCTGCCGGTAGAAATGGAAACATTTCGTAAATGCTCAGCGGATAGCTGCGGAGAGGAAAAGTTTTAAATATAATGTTATATGTTTGCATTTTCATTGCTTGAAATACCCGTTCATAACGGTATAACGTGGCGTTAACTTGTAGACATATTCATTCTTGAAAACGTGTACCGTTCCATTTAGCACGCTCACGGCATCGAATTGGCCAAGACATATATTAGGTATCTTCGAAAGCTCTGGTTTTGGCCATAATGTAGGCAGCGTTGGGATTGGCGGTGGTATATCTGTATTGCTAGTTGAAAGTTCTGTTAGTTTTGTCGTGTTGGAAGCGAAGCGACTCTGCAAAAAACCGAAAAAAAATACAAAAACTTAGTTGACTTTGATTTTCTGCATTATTTGAGATAAAATGTTAGGTTGAACTTCGGAAAGTGTAATTTTAACTCTTCATCGGTTTAAATTTTAAGCACTACAGTGTAGCGCAGACGAGGAAGCTCTACACCTGTCATAATACTGCACTTCAGACTACGACAGGATGCCTCTTGACGTCTCTTAACAAACACCTGCACCTGACGTCTCTTAACAAACACCTGCACAGTGCTCCCTGTTAAAGAGCATCCTATTCAGACAGTTCCTATTCCCAGTCACCTATTAACCAACTTTCAATATGTTCTGCGTCCACCTCTTTGCATGCTCCACAAAACCCACTCATCTGACACCGTCTCCCTTTGGTCCGACCTCGTCAAAACAGCACGTTTCTTGAACTTTCCGTTTTATGACGTCGACGACAACTTACGGGGACTATCCGCTAAAATAACAAAAACAACAGGGTCTGCCTTTTGCTATTCGAACAATCTACTATTGTCTAATGCTTTCATAGAAATCTCATTTCCCCGATTTCGCCCCGGTGAATGGTATTTAATGATATTGTAGCAGGATTATTTAGATTCACCCTGACATAAAAATGTATGTCCTGCGTGCAGTGAGTGTGTGTTGTTGTTAAAGAAGGAAAAAGCATTTCTGAATTAATTTAGAGAAATACTGCCGGTTTGACAGTCGTTGTTCGAATTTTGATATGTTCCGATTACGTAAAGCCGACGGACAAAAAATGGGTTTAGATAAGCGCTAAAACAGCAACACTCTGTTGTTGTTGTTTTTGAGTCCGTGTACATTGCAGTTAAGTCTTTGTTGAACTCATATATTCGTCGACTTTCTTCATTAATTTTAAACTAAACTCATGATTCTCAGGATCAACTCCTACTTATTCCAATTTCATATTATCTCCAACAGAGGTGAAGCATTTCTTCGTAGGTCCTGAGTTAACCGTTTGGCTTCTTAAGCTTACAATGTAGAATACGACAAGTAGCCCCAATTTGTTTCTTGGAAGATTGATTACATTTTTTTTCATTCTTATCTCTGCCGACACTTTCCTCTTTTCGAGACAGCTCTTTTATGGTATGAGGATCAACCCTAATATAGGATTCCGATTCTACCATTCTGGTGGACGCTGTAGAGCGGATAAGCGCATTCCCAGCGATACCCTTGTGATCGGGCACACAGATAAGTGCACTTGCTTACGATCTGACAGGCTATTCAGCCGTTCTTTGCACTCCAGCAGCAGGAGTGATTTAATTTTATAAGAAGAGATCGTATAAGAAGAGATTTAAGTGCTGTTGATTATCGCTGAGTATGGCGATACTTTCGTTGCGATAGTTGATTTGAAGGTTTATCTCAATTCCCTGTAGCGCTTGATTGTCCCATCCCTTAGCAATAGGTGGTGGAATAATTCTATTCAGCCTTATTGGTGACTTTAAATTTCCTCGTGAAGTTTACTATTTTGGTAGTGCGCTCAATTAAGAGCAGAGCCGGGACGAGATTACCTTCCCTATGTTAAAACCTTCTGCTGTCATTTGAAGCATCGTATATTTGTCTGCTTGATTGATTAGTAGGTGAAGCGGTGTAAGTTCTAGCAAGATTTCCATTTTGTAGCCTAAGAAATAATTGGTCTTACGATCATGGTGTACATCCGCCTTATAATCCTAGGTTTGCAACCCAAGGATTTCCCGGTAAGTCGATTGTACACCATGAGTGTCTTTGTAGCTTAAACAACAGTAAGAACCA